TGTTGTTGCTGTTGTTGTTGTTGTTGTTGTTGATGTGGTTGACGAAATGAAAAAAGCTTATATATATCATAATCTTAGTTCTTTTGGATCGGTAAATTGTTGTTGTTGTCGTTGTTGTTGTGGTTGACGAAATAAGCTCCAACATTAGAAATGTTTTCATCTCAGGAACTGAAGAAGGCGGACTTAGTGTATTGATATACAGTTAGTGTAAACTGTTTGCTGTAAATTACCTGAAGTATTTTCGTTTGGAAGACATCGGTGACTTGCAGATTCATTTCTTTACAGTTTTCTTCGATGGCGTCAGCAAGTGTTGTGTAGTCTGGTTTGGGTAGTTTTATACCAGGGAATAAATCTGATGTGATACCCTATAGGGTTGCAAACAAATACATCTCATCTTTAATCTTGAGTATTGAAAAAATATTATTCAATTAGTACACCATTCCTACCTCAAAGAGTGGTAAATCGTGCGACAAAAATTTTGGCAAGTTGACATCGTTGATTGATCGCAACATCAGAATCTCCTCGTTCTCATCGGGGTATTTTAACTGGAAACAACAAAGAAGAACATTACAGAAACGTAAAAAAAACACATATTTCTGTTGGGAGGAATCGGAAGATGGTAACTGGGAGAAAAGTTTAGGTTTAATACAGAGTTGCCCAAAATGAAGAAAGTTTAAGACCAGTGCAGAAATGTCGATTATCTATCGGGCTTATGATGAAATTACAATTGTACCACTTGATAATACCTTAAGATTTCCAGCAGCGGTTAAAACAGACTTGACTGCTCTCATACCATAATCGTAATGATGTTGTGATGACAGTTGTTCAGAACATAATGTGTATGTTGTCACAATCTTTACAGCAAGAGGTCTTGCCTACAAAACCAGAACAACAAAATAATCTGTGGTTGCCCCTCAAAACCATTTTAAGAGCATAAGTACCAAAATATTACAAAGAACATGCACCATATTTATCCCAAGTAAGTAAATATTAATGTCGAAGTCACTTACGTTGACAAAGCCATAGGAATAAAGAGATATCTCAGCAATCAAAGCATAGTCAGGAACCATCATAGCGACACTTCGGAACAATGCCTGTAAATTCGTAAATCTATTAGAAACATATTATTCAACATTCTTGCTTATTAAAGGCCCATTTCCACTCAGGAAAATTTTTCCGCAGAAAGAAAATTTTGTAAAATGTGATTGGCCGATACAAATTTTCCGTCGGAAAAAAATTTTAACATTGTTAAAAGTTGAAAATTTTCAACTGTCTTCAAAATTTTTTCTGTGCCTGGAAATTTTTCTTGAATGGAAATGGGCCTTAAGACAAACTTTTAATCATGGAATTATTGATATCTTATATATCTAATCCTACCTTTAAGTTATCTGGCAATTCAGATCTGCCAGCATAACCAGGATTCATGGTGATAAACACAGCACAACTAGGATCCAGCTTGATTTCCGTTCCTTCAAACAGCAGTGTGTCATTGCCAGAGTTGATACCTAGAAACGCATAGTTACACTGTGTTAGCTACAGCCAGATTTATGCCTGTTGGTAGTTCACGACATAATCTGTCAAGATATGATGGTCTGGAAGCCCGTCAAACTTCAAAGCCACAAAATAGAAGGTCTTTGTTTGATGTTGAACTGTACCTCACGGTGCACAAATCCTTTGTCTCAACTTCATTAAATATTATTCATCGTGGTTTCACGTTTCATCTCAGCTATCCCTATTGGACGGTTACTTCATTTTACGAAAATACAATGAGCTCAATCACCGTTGCACAAATTAACATAAACTCCGACAAAACATAACACAATGACTTCTGTTCAGTTTCCAGACCATCATCATATTTTGATAGACTATGTCATTACAGACAACAATCGGCGTTGTTTGGAAGAGAGGCATACACGTTTCGCAAATCTTCTATTAAAACCTCTCTCACATAACACCTACGAAATTTTCTTACCCATTTGAATGGTCAATATTTGTTGGGCGACAACAGACAGCACTTCCAGATCAATACGATTGAATTCATCAAAGCAAGACCACGCACCACACGACGCAAGACCCTGGAAAATGAAAGTTGTTCATTGAACCAGAACAAGTAAATGAACAGATAAATGATGTTCTTATATCTCAAGATTGCTTCGTGAAGAAATTAAAGCTAATGCTAGATCCCAATACTTAGTTGAGATCAGACGAAGCCTTTCTCGTTGTTGTCTGTCTTCATTAGCCAAACTGTTTACTATCATGGCAGGACTTAATTTGGGACTTTATTAGTCCTGTTGTCTGTGCCTTCAATTTCTTATTGTAAAACTAATAAAAATTTCATACCTTGAAGAACTTCCCCAAAGCAATATAATCCAATCCATCGGAACAGTTGAACACCACACATTGCTTAGCAACAGCTTTAGCGAGATCTTTCGTAGTTTCAGTCTTGCCTGTACCTGCAGGCCCCTCGGGGGCGCCACCCAAATGAAGTTGCAGCGCACCAAACAACGTTCGATAACATCGGTCTGTTAATGGTGTGATGACCAGACGGCCAGAGTTACCAAGGTATTCGTAACCGTAGTTGAGTTGTGCGCTGATCATACGTGTTGTCATGTTACCTTCCTATAAAGAAATATATAATAACGTTAAGAATTCAAGCGCTTTCATTGGTCGAGAGCCATGATCTATTAGAGGGTAGACGCACGGAATTATGTCACACAAAACTTTGTTCTGTGCAGCCAATCACAACACAGCACGTGACTTCAGGTATCCTCAAGATCATGTAGGCGTGATATTTGTGAAATTTCCAACTTTTTCAAATTTCCAAATGTTTGGGTGGATAAAAAGTAAGCTACTGTATTTACCTGTTTAATTCGGAGTTTTTCTTTTTATTATATAAAACAAATGGATAAGATTTTGCCGTTGTCTGTTCAGTTATTATATAGATACACAGTATGACGTCATAATGCGTATCTATAACTGAACAGACAACGACAAAATCTTATCTATTTGTTAAATATAATTTTTTCTGTAGTCGCTACCCGTGTATACATACACGCAAATCGTGAAAAGTCATACCTCAATATAATAACGGAGTTGTGCAAGCCAGTTGAAGTCATTCTCGTTTTCAATGCCTAAAACATACATTGTATAAATAAAAATTGAATTTGGATGAATAAATCTCGTCATGTGATTCACATTGTTTATTGAGTTCCTCACTCATTGGTGAGCGGATTTTCCAACAGCTTTTGCTCAATTGATAGGGGATCCGAGGTACCTACGATTTTAACGTCCTTATCGGAGAAGACGCGAAAGTCTAACCATTTACTGATGTCAATGTGAAGATAGCACTTTCTCCAGAATTATTTTAAGACCTTGAGTAGAGGTCCGACCAAGGATTGTACCCGGGTCCCCCAGCTTGAAAGACAAGGGTGGTGCCGTGGACCACGGCACCACAAGAGCTGGGGACATCTTGCATTATATAAAAAAAATAGTTTACCATCTCCAGCAAGATGTACCAACACATCCCTGGCGTGTACATCCAACACGACCAAGGCACCCAACGTCGCACGATTCTGTTTGGAAAGCTTGCCTCGGACCAGCGCGACAATGTCGTCAATTTGACTGTTGTTCAATTGAAGATAATCATTCAAAGCCTAGAATTAACACATAAAATACTTAAAGAAATCCACATTATGGAAATGATATTTGCATCACCAAACCTATAGTATATCCACGTTATTTCCATAGAAATGGTATAGAAATGGCAATTAGTATGGAAATTGGATTCCACTACAAAACTCCGGTGGGCCACGCCCTGCTAATAAAGCATGTGCTGTAATACATAAAGAATCGCATGATCAAACTGTACCTTTGGACCACCTTTAATAGCCTTGTGGATCTCCGCTGTCCAATAATATTGGCTCACGCAAAGCACAGCTTGCCCCATCCATTCTCGGACCCACACAACTCTTTCTGTTTTATTGTACGCCTCGATAGACTCCATAATCACCTAGGACAATAAGCATAATAACTTTAAGACTTGATTTGATGTCTACACAACTCCGTAGATACACAGTCACGTTCTGAAATAACCCAGTCAAACTTTCACAAACTTGTTACTACGAGAAATACCCCAATTACAGATTTTATAGATTAACAATACTGAATCTTTAACCTTCTTAACACTAGCCAACATGTCTTCTTGAAGTTCTAACAGCCATTTCTCGACCTGACCTCTGGCCTTCGCTGTAGAAATGACATCCTTAAGTTCGACCACTTCACCTTCTGAACTCTTCAGGTGAGTTATATCAAGTACATCTGTGAACTGCAGACTGGCAATACCCTCGAAACATTTCTTTAAGTGAGGCTGCACTCTATAGAGACAAGTAAAGCAGTTCAGTATTTATTTTACGAGCTTTCGACTGCCCGACTGCAATCTTCAATGGGTAAGCCTAACGGAAATTTATCCGTTAACGACTGCAGTCAGGCAGTCGAAAGTAGGTTATCAAAAACGCAGTAGGTTATCAAGAATTGATGAAATTCACTCATAAATAATTCATGAGTAATAATTCATAATAATTCATTCAGGCCGTGTTAGTGTGTAAGATATACAAACTCGAACCGAAGGCGAGTGATTATGAATTAATGTATTACCTCGTCGGATCTTTGGTTTCGGACAAAATCTCGAGCAATTCATCATTGGACAGGAAGAAGAAACGAGGGAAGTACAAACGCTTCTTCTCCAAATACTCGTTCAAACCCTACACAACAAATAGCACCAAATATATTACAAGCAGGGATGGATTTACTGGGGGGTGCGGGGGGGGGGTGCACCCCCTAGCCCTGGCCAGAGGGGGTGCAGGGGTGCTATTTTTCATGATAAAGCAAAAAATTATTAGAGACAAAATGAGATACAGTAATTTGAGTAATAACATGATGATAAGCAAACTGTGAACAACAATTACAATTCAAATACAGTAGTCAAGCAAGACTTTGCA